TGGGTTTGAGCCCCAGTCCCCGGTTGGGGCACATGTGAGAGGCAACCAACTGATGTTTCTCTCTCTTTTTCCTCCCCTTTCCATCTCTCTAAGGTCAATAAGCATATGCTTGGGCAAGGATAAAAAACCCCACAGTAAAATGAAATTAATAAATCACTCTTTTTAAAAAATATATTTTATTTATTTTTAGAGAGAGGGGAAGGGAAGGAGAAAGAGTGGGAGAGAAACATCAATGTATAGTTACCTCTTATGCATCCCCCACTGGGAAATGGCCTCCAACCCGGGCATGTGTCCCAACTGGGAATCAAACCGGCAACCCTTTGCTTCACAGGCCTGTGCTCAATCCACTGAGCTATACCAGCTAGGGCAATTAAGTCACTCTTAATAGTATTTGAAGTGGAATTAGTTCCCCAGCTCCAAGGTTTACATTCACTATGAAATAATCTAACAGGAAAACAAAAATGTTACTCTAAATTATGAATCTTTATTTTTAAAAAAATCTTTGTCCACTTATCCTTTTCCAGATGTAAATGTATCCACCACCATGAATGCCCTACTTAAAGGTTCCGGTGTGTGTACAGGGTGTGTTAGCACATATAAAACAGATAGCCAAGTCTAAGTCCCATGGGGTGGGGAGTCAGGGAAGGCGCATTGGAGGAGGCAGACAAGCTAAGTGTTAATGTACAAGTTGGAGCTTTTCACAGACAAAAGATTCTTTTGAAAATAAGAGAACCCTTGCTTTGCCTACATTACGGGTGTGATAAAACAAGGGTATGAACTTCAAGTATTCACAGAATACTATAGTAAATCCTCTTTGAATGCTAGAGGCACGGCTAAATTGGTGTTAAGATCGCTCAGATTTCCTCCGCACTGTGCTCTACTCATGGGATTGTGCCTCAGTGTCCTCGGTGCTGAAAGTGAAGGGAATACGTCTTCCTCATACTGATGGCACTGATTTGTGGACCAAGGACTGAATAGGAGAATCCAGCCTGCCAGTGGTGCGCTGGAGGGGCGCACTGCCCCAGGAGAAGCTGGAAGCTACCTGGCACCTCCTCAAGCCTCTCACCTGAAGGAATATCTGCTAGTGGCGCTTCTGAGAGCTGGAGACCCTACAAAGTCAGAGCTGGTAGTGCCCTCCAGTTCCTCTGCCTTCATCCCCATGATTAAAAAAAAATATTTTATTTATTTATTTTTAGAGAGAGAGGAAGGGAGGGAGAGAGGGAAAGAAACATCAATGGGGTGCCTCTTGCACGCCCCCTACTGGGGACCCGACCCAGAATCAAACCTCTCAGTTTGTGGGACAATGCCCAACCCTGAGCCGCACCAGTCAGGTCTCTCACTGATTTTCTAAAATAATCATTTTTAATTGTATTTTAAAATTGAATTCATTTTTAATTATAATTGGCATATATTATTATGTTTCAGGTGTACAACACAGCGACTCAACATTTGCACACCTTACAGAGTGATCACTGTAACAAGTGTGGGAGCCATCTTTCTCACTGAGCAGCTCACACATCCTGAGAGGAGCGGACTCTACGTCTTTAAGTTTTTTTTTTCTTTTTTTTTATTGGGGAAGGGAAGGAGAGACGGAGAGAAACATCGATGTAAGGTTGCCTTTCGTGCATCCCCTGCTGGGAACTGGCCTGCAGGGAACCAGCCCCCAATCCAGGCATGTGCCCTGACTGGGAATCGAACCACAATTGTCTGGTTCGCAGGCCCATGCTCAACCCACTGAGCTACACCAGCCAGGGCCATCTCTAACTTTTTAGTTGTCTGTTTGGACGTTTTCTGCTCCTTCTCTCTGGAGTGGGGTCCCAGGTGGGGTGCATATGTACAATAGTTTTGACAAATGCCTGGACAAATCTCTTAACTATAGTGAGCTTCGTTTGTCTCATTTTTAAGTAGGGGAGGTAGTATTTCTGTCACGTGATTGAGAAGAAGGTCTGGCACGTGGTAAATGCTCAACAAATGTTCCCGATTAGCCGTCTGGGGGAGACATGAGTAAATTGCTAATTCTAGTGCAGCATAAGATGCTATGATATAGCTGAGTACAGGGCGTGTTAGGAGCATAGAAAACATATCTAAGTGCCAAGGGGGTGGTGAGTCGGGGAAGGCGCACTGGAGGAGGCAGACAAGCTAGGTGTTGACGAACAAGCTGAAGCTTTTCACAGAAGAAAGAAAGGAATGTTCTTTCAGGCAGAGGGGGCAACAGGCAGATACACAGTTACAGCCATTCACAGCTTATGCCACAGCGTCCCGCAGGTGTTAATTTATATCATTCTCTCTCCAGTTTTGGGATGAAGTCTCTCATGCCCTACTTTTTAGCTGCCTCATAATTGCCTGTCTCCCATGAGGATGAATCTTCTCTAGAAGCAGGCTCTGTTTTGTTTACTGTTCTGTCTCTAGCAGTACCTGGCACATTTTGGACATTTGAATGCATGTTGAATGAATACAAGAATGAATAAGATTATTTCCCATTAGTTCCCCAACAACTCAGATTACCCCTCTTCTCTCCTTCTCTTCCCCTGTTGTCTTGCTTCCTTATAACCCTCACCCTCTTCTGTCCCTCCGCTGCCAGGCCCCATTGGCCAAAAGCAATGGTCACCAATGCATGAGACTGGTTCGCAAGCCCTTTTACACTAAAAAACACTGGTGAGGGCACACTTGGTGCAGCTGGACAAGGACCATGGGAAGATATATTGGAACCAGAATCATGGAGTCGAAGCAAGGGTAGTTAGTGGTGTTATGTGCCAGGATGACATCTGCTTCCACTATGGGACAAGCTTGCCTTGGAAAGACGGACCTTGGGACACCCCTGCTGAGGACTCCTTCTGCCTGGCAGGGCTGAAGGGGCAGACACAATGCCCAGCTTTTCCAGGTTCTTCAGAGCTGCAGGAACCGGTCCCCTGCAGGCACAGGCTCTCCTGGCTGTGTTAACACAGTGAGCAGGCTCCCTTAAAATGTCTAAATTTGACTTCCAGGCCATCCTCTGGGTCGGAGAGACAAACGTGTCTTTTAAATGGTCTTCCCCTGTTGTGAGGTGATCCTTAGGGTAACTGTGTGCCTCACTTCTGGGTGCACTCCTCCGTTGTCTGAAGCCAGCACTGGCTTTCATAAGCATTGTCTCCGGGCTTTCCATCAGGCAAGGGTGTCCGGCACCTCTGGCTTCTCATCTCAGTTCCCAAGCGCCCTGGCGCTCCCTTCCCAGGTTGTTTCCACTCCCGTCAGACAGTCCTGCTGCTCTCCACTTTCCTGCCTCACCCTCAGTAACACCCCAACTTTCAGACCAGCGGTTTTACCCCAAAACACTACCTCACATTTGTGCAGCCCTGTCCAGCTTACAAAGGCTTTTCACACATCTTCACTCATTCCATGTTCTCTTTGGTTGTGGAAGGAAGGAGAGCAGGTGTTATATAATGTAAAGAGTTTCATGGGCCAGTGGTGCCCTGGGAGGGAAGTATTGCTCTGGGCAGTATTTGAGAAAGTGACCTTGCAGGGTGAACGGCTTCTGGGGATGACAAGGCCCTGGGTGTGTCCATGGGAGCTAGTGTCTGAGGAGAGGACGAAAAAGCCTTTGGTTACCTGAGGCCAAGGCACAGAATGGTCAGAGTGTTGGGTGGGCTGACCATGCAAGTAGAGAAGTCACTGACACTGATGACAGGTGGAGATGACCAGGCACCAGTGACCAAGTCTCAGTAAATGAGGGTAAGTCTCGGGATTGGTGGTTGTCAGTACTGAGGAGGGGAAAAAGGGTGGGTCAGCCAGGTGGTATATGTCAGGGAATAACAATCTGGAGGCCAAAATGGGGAGGGAGGGAGGCCCCAGCCAGACAGAGTCTGTGCTGAACTGCGAGGGCTGGGAGAACATAAAAAGCCCCCACTTGAGAGGACAGTGGGGGATAGTGAGGTTCCATTGAGTCAGGGAGCAGAGCAGAACTTCTGAGAAGAGGCTAGGACACTTCTGATCACTGCCTGGGAATTCCCGGGGGCTCCATTCCAGCGGGCAGAGGGAGGGGCAGCGTGTGCTTTTGCTCACGTAGGCGTGGAGACTGAGGGGTGGTTCTGAGTCCTTTCTCATGGAGCCTCAGGGAAGCAGGCGTGTGAGTGTAGGTCATCCTGTGCGTTTCCGCTGGCATAGGTGCGGTTCAGGCTTTCAGTGGAGTTCCAAATAAATATTTGGAAGGTGAGCTGGAAAATCTGATCCTGGGTTGAATTATAAACTCTAAAGTCAGAAAGTGCTCAGAATAAACCACAACTCCACATTTGGATGATATTTGAGAACTTACCAAGTATTTTAGCATATTTTCCGCAATCCCTTCACAGAACGCTGTGAGGTGGGCATTATCAATGATGAACTTGGCCTGGCTTGCTGATGGTGGCGTTCCTGCCAAGTGTCAAAGCTGGAGTCAAACCCCACTCTACGCTGCCTTCTAAGTGCATTGATGAGTGCGACGCTTTCAGAGCTGCTTAAAGAAGACAAAGACCTTCCCGAAGCCAGTCCTTTTTGCATCTGACCACCGACCCCTCTTTCCTGAGCATCTGTGCCATGTTTTCAGTATCCAGGGAATTAATAGTTTCTCTAAGAGGCCTCCACACCTCACTTTTTCTCTTTGTATGACTTCAAGACTTTATAGCTCCTCAAACGGAGGCGGTAACGGGTTACAGGCTCTGTTTTGACGAGCTCAGAGAAATAGCAGACAGCGAGTCATGGCTAAAGACAATTCTCCCCACTCAGCTGGGGCTGGCTGGCTGTCCGCTGAGTCTGCCCCTGAACTTTGGGCTGAGAGCGGGACTCCAGAAAAAAAGTAGGTAATAGCGGCCGGGGCGGCTTCAAGGCCCGCTTTTACCCTGTATTATTGATGTCGCTCACATCATTTAAAACTTCATTTCCTTAGCAGGAAAATAGTTGCAACCAGTCCTCGCTAGGCCTGTGAGCTACGAAGGCGGGGCTATGACGTCAGGGTCAGGGCGGGGCTGGACTATTCTAAACGAGCGCTGGGAGGGGAGCTTCTGCAGCGGAGAAGGCCTCTCTGGGAATTAGCCTTCTTTGCTTCCGTATTTAATTAGTTTAGATGTTAATTAAAATGTTCAGAAGTCGTATGAGAGCTGGCGGTCCTCTCTTTACAGCTGTGGAGGAGACACGTGCGGAAGCCATTTCTGTTGCCTCTCCTCCTAGTGGCCGCATCCATTTCGCGCCGGTGGCCCGATTTAAGGGTTGGAAGTAGTGAGTGTCCTCTTCAGAATCGCAAAGCCCGGGGGCCCTCATGACCCCGCTGGGAGGAGGACCCCGGCTGGTGCTGCTGTTCAGCGGGAAGAGGAAATCCGGGAAGGACTTCGTGACCGAGGCGCTGCAGAGCAGGTGTCGGAGAGGCGGGGAGGAAGAGGGGAGGAGGAAATGCCGTGTCACGTGACACGGGGGCTGTGTTAAGGGTGTGATGGAATGATCTATGTGTGTGTGTGTGTGTGTGGGGGGTCCCCGCCCGGGTTACTGGTGGGAGGGTCACTGAGCCGCGGGAAGAGGCAGGGGCGGGGGGGGGGGGCGGGATACATGTCCACCTCAAATTACCAAGTGGCCACCTCTCCAAAGACTGTAAACTGTAGGTCTCTCTTGTCAAGAAGCATTAATAGCAGTTACTACCAAGTCACTTTTTACACACCATTCTTAATCTACGGACCAATGAAACTAATAGCTAACATTTAGTTCCTGCACCTTTATGAGGTGTCAAAAATTGTTCTAAGCCCTTCCTTCACATGCATTATTTCATTTAATCCGTACAGCCAACCTATTATTACCCTGGTCCCACAAATGACAAAACTGAGGCACAGAATGGACAGATGAAGAAACTGAGTCACAGATAAAGGATTTGCTCAAGACCACACCCCAACTGTGTCATACTCCAAAGACAAATCCTTGCCCAGCACACTGCCTAATAACTGGGGTTTATCAAGGCTTTATTTTGTGCCAGGCACTGTGTGTATGTAGTATCTCATTTAATCCCCCAAACCTCTTTGTTAGGTACTGTGTGGCAGTATTACTGTCCCCATTTCACAGATGAAGAGACTGAGGCTCTGAAAAGTAAAGCAAAACAAAACCCTAATTTGCCAGGTCACAAAGTCATCGTCAGATCCAGTACTCAAACTTTAAACTAGCTCCAAGGAATGGGTTCTTTCTGCTCTACCTCACTGTCCTCCAAATAATACCTTTCTTTTAAAGCAAGATGTTCTGTGTGGTAGCATTTTTTGTGGAGCCATGGGCTGGGAGAGGAGAGGGGCCAGGGAGAAAGCAGGGTGGGCCTCCTCTCCTCTGGAAGACCAGTGTGGTGGGGGCACCTGGAGGTTGCTATCGGGCACCGCAGGGATTCTAAGGGGTTGCGGGGAAGCCCAGGGCAGAGGTCACTGCCTGAATCTTTCACCATCAAGGATCCACCACCTATTCCTAAACTGCATTTCTCCTTACCTAGAAACACAGAAGTTAAATAGTTGTCAGAAGCACAGGCTCTGGAATTATATTGCCAGGATTCAAATCCTGACTCATCACTTAACTAGTTCGTGATCTTGTATAAGTTTCTTATCCATTCTGTGCCTCAGTTTTGTCATTTGTGGGACCACGGTAATAATAGGTTGGCTGTAAGGATTAAATGAAATAATGTATGTGAAGGAAGGGCTTAGAACAATTTTTGACACCTCATAAAGGTGCAGGAACTAAATGTTAGCTATTAGTTTCATTTTAACAACACTGGCTTCATTACTTGCAGCATTGCTTTGGGTGAGTCACTTCTCACTCACTCAACCTCAGTTTCCTCATCTGAAACATGAAAATGAGAATACCTATCTGGCTATGTCAGTGCTTGAGTGAATGTGTGAGCACACAGCACTGTACAATACAGGCTGGCTGAGCAAACTGAGCTGAATGAGTGAATTGGTGTTGCAGTGACCCCATCAGTTGAGACTGAGATACCCCTGCTGAGAGACAGTCAGGGGTCCAACAGTAACCCAATCTAGCCAGAATACCACATTGTCATAATTTTATTTGTTTTACCTGTTATTTTCAGGGCGCTTTCACATTCATTTACGTTTCATAATGATCCTGTGGGAGACAGAATAGAAACTGGTATCTCCATCTTATAGATGAGAAAATAGAGTCAGGGATGTTGAGACCTAACACAGTTAGAAAGATACCAGGAGCAGAAATGGGACTTCGCCCCAGGCCTCTGGACTCTTCTGCGGCCCAGAAGATCCAGGCTAACTGGGTCTGGATCTCCCCATCCCACAGACTTGGGGCCGATGTCTGTGCTGTCCTCCGGCTCTCCAGCCCACTCAAGGAGCAGTACGCTCAGGTAGGTGGTGGCTCTCTGTGACACCTGGTGGGTCGGAAGGAGCTAGCTCCCTGCGTTTGGTACCTGTGGCTGTCGTTTAAGTCACTAGTAGGGTCCCTGTGACCACCGTTGGCAGGGTAGTGGCCAGCTCTTGGTTTTCTGTGGGTGGATTTCGTGGGGGCATTTCGGCTTGCACTTCTTTCCCCTCGGCCTCACTCACTTCAGGCCACTCCCTCAGAGCATTTTCAAGAAAGCCCGTCGAGGGAAGGCTGCGGAGGCAAGTCAGCAGCCCTGGCGCCCTGGTATTAGCAAGGTCTGCACGCTCGCTGTCAGCCGGAAAGTGGAGCACGGTGGCACGTCCCTGCTGCAGCCTCGTCCAGGGACTCTCCCCTGAGCAGCTCAGTTGCATGAATTGTCAAGATGTGTTATCAAGTGAAACAACAAGATTTGGGACAGTGTATTGAGAATGTTGTACAAAAGTGGGGAAAATGTAAGAATATCTGCTCACACGTTCAGCCATCCAACAGACATTCATGGCGTGCCCGCGGCGTATCAAACACTGCTCTAGAGCTTGGGGTGTATTAAGAGCTGGGGCAGACACATGCCAGGCTGTACCACTGGTGGCCTGCACGGGCTGGGGACAGGGCTGGGAAAGGATTTTTCATTGTAAGTGACTGTGTATTTTTTGAATTTTGAACCATGCAGGTTTTATAAAAAATAAATAGGATTGTTAACATAGGATTAAAAAAATAAGCAGGCACTCTTAGAACCTTAGACTTAGAATATGTAAAGAGGTGAGCTTCCCACACGATGAAGGCCCCATGGCGGCCTGTGTTTTCGTCCTTGACTTCTAGGCACACCCTTCCAGGTATCTGTGCTCATGGTCCCTTGGTCACTTAGACTGAGCCTTCTGGGGCCACCCAAGATGGATTTGCCCCCCTTTCCCCTCTCTCATGGGGTGCGTTCTCCTGTACCACAAAGGCTTCTCCCTCCAGTTAAACAGGCCCCACGATAGAACTGCAGCCTGGGGGGTCCCAGGCGTACAGGGTTAGTAGTTTTCACTTTTCCCTTTTTCTTTCTTTTTTTCTAAGTAGGGACTATGGGATACAAAGTTCCTCATATTCAGTAGACATACTAGGAGTGACTGTGATTGGGGGGCACTCAGTCTTCCCCAGTGGGACCCAGGCACTGCCAAGGCACCCCAGGGCTCTGAGGAGTTTGAAAACCATAGTCTGCTTCCACAGAGTTCTCAGATTATGCCTGGCTCAAGCCAGACTGGGGAGTGGGGTGGGGTCAGAGGGTCGGCAGTTTGCATTTTGGAAAACTCAGTAGGAGGCTCTGATAGGCCAGCCTGCTCCTTGGTCTGGAAGTCCAGCACTACACCTCATTCTCATTCAAACACACAAACAAAACTAAATGTTGATGCGTTGATTTAAATCACAGTGGGAAATATAACCGACAAGGAGACCATAATGCTCCTAGCGGCTTCTCTTTCCTGACAGCCGTGAAGAGCAGTTGAACAAATTTACAAGGAAAGGTGGCTGCTGGCATCACCTGAGAGCCAGAGGTGCAGGTAGAAGAGACTGGCCAGGTCTCGGCGCCTCAGTTTGCCGGTGAAGAAACAGTGCCCGAGGCTAGAGGCCTTGTTGCTGCGAGTTAGTAGGAGAGCTAGAACCCGAACTGAGTGGTGTTTTTCAGACCCTTCTTGTTCTGGGACGCTCTGGATGGACCCCTCCTGCTTGTCAGTGTCACTGGAGAAAGGGAGGTTGGGAGGGAAGCAGCTCCGCAGGGGATCAGGGCAGTGCCTTCTTCTCCAGGGGTCCTCTGGGTGTGGGAGGCCCCAGGAGGCCCTGGAGCCAAGGCAAGTGCTGCTGTTTCAGCAGCTGGGCCAGGGATTGGGGGTGAGGATGGGGGTAACAGGGAAAGGAGAGAGGCAGGGAAGCCGTGTCTCCTGGGCTTTGGGACGGGGCGAGCGATGCCAGAGCGGGCAGTGGGAGGACATGGAATGCAGTGTTTTCCTAGTTCCAACTTGAGCTGAAGGCCAAGCCTGTGCCCAGGGGGTGCAAACTATACAATTTCAGGACTAGTTTAACTCAGAAATAATTGGGAAGGTAAAACGGCTGTAAAAACAAACAAACAAAGAAACAAACACACAACCACATTGTGCATTTAAAAAAAGTGGAAAAATTACCCCAAGACCTCTCTTCTGTCCACGTTCAGGATTTCCTTGTTCCCAGAGCCTGTTCCCTTGCAGAACTCTGTCTTGGTGGACACCCTGTTGGCCCTTGCATCGTCTTGGCGGGGGGAGGGCAGGTGAGAGAAGGGCTGGCCCCTCCTCTGTTTTAGGAGAGGCCATTGAGGTGGAGAGGCTGGGGTATGGACATGATGTGCTTTGGGCAGGAGCACGGACTGGACTTCCAGAGACTGCTGGACGCCAGCACCTACAAGGAGGCCTATCGGAGGGACATGATCCTCTGGGGCGAGGAGAAGCGCCAGGCTGACCCCGGCTTCTTCTGTAGGAAGGTCGTGCAGGGCGTCTCCCAGCCGGTCTGGGTAAGTGCTGCAGGGCAGCGTTAACGAACGCCCGTTTCTCCTGGCTTCGTCTCCCCAGGAAAATCTCAGATGCGCCCATTTACGTCTCTGCTTCCACTGCCGCCTCCCGTGGCCCAAACCGACTCCCGCCCCCAGACAGCCGAGCAGCCCCACACTGGCCCTGGCTTTAGTTTTTGTCCCACTTAAGTCATTCATCACGGAGCAGCCAGAGTGGCCGTTTAAGAACAAACCAAGTCGTGTCACTCCTTTATCTCATTGTTCTAATGAACAAAACCAAAATCCTTCACATGAATTTTTGGGCCTTGAAAGATCCAGCTTAACCTCCTCACTCAAAAAAATTTTTTAAAAAGATTTTATTTATTTTTAGACAGAGGGGAAGGGAGGGAGAAAGAGAGGGAGAGAAACATTACTGTGTGGTTGCCTCTTGCACACCCCCTACAGGGGATCTGGCCCACAACCCAGGCATGTGCCCCGACTGGGAATCGAACCAGTGACCCTTTGGTTCACAGGCCTGCACTCAATCCACTGAGCTACACCAGCCAGGGCAGCTTCCTTACTCTTTAAGCTGCAGCTACATTGGCCTTTTTTTTTGTTCTGCAAATAAGTTGAGTTCCTTGTGGAATCAGGGCTTTTGCACATGTTCTTCTGCCTGCCTGGACTGCCCTTTCTTTCCCTCTTCACCTGGCTAGCTTTCGCTCAGCTCCCGTGGCACCTCCGCAGGGAAGCCTTCCCTGACACCCAGGTCTTCACTGATGCTCCCTGGCAGGTGCTCCCACAGCACCTTACCCTCTTTGTCCACATTCATTTTGGCATTATCTCCTGGATGAAGCCTGGTTCTAGGTGACTTGGGGATCCATTAGTGCAAACATGCCAGGAAGCCCTGTCCTCAGGGAGCTTATGTTGTAGCTGGGGGTAGAGGCAGGTAGGTCCTAACATAATATAGAAACTGTCAGCTGGAGATAAGTAATAAAGGGCAAAATAAAGCAGGCCAGAGGTATGAGGAAGTCTGGGCCGCTGCTTTGTTAAGGGTATAAGAAGGCCTCTCCATTATGGTGACATTTGAGCAGGATCCGAAGGAGGTAAAGGCATAAGCCAAACAGATGTTTGTGGGTGAGGGGATGAGTGGCAAGTGAGGTCAGATCATGCAGGTTCTTTGAAAGAGCCTAGATATTTGTGTGAGATGGTGACTCAGTGGAGGGTTTTGAACAGAGTAGGGGCATGATGTGATCTAAGGTTTAAAGGCTCTCGCTCTAGCTGCAGGGGGAAGGGCAAGAGTGGAAGCAGAGAGCCAGGCAGAGGATCTCTCTGCAGGCAGGCAAAGTGGCCACAGCCCAGCCTATGGTGGCAAGGAGAGGAGAGAGAAGCGGTTGATTCTGCGCAGATTTTAAAGATCGAACCAGCAGGACTTACTGGTGTGTTAGCTGTGGAGTGTGGGGACAGAAGATGGTGCCAAGGAGTTTGTTCTGAGCAGCTGGACGAATGGAGTTGTCATTTTCTGAGACAGGAAAGGTGTGGGAGGAACAGGTTTGGGGAGAAAATCAGGAGTTCAGTTTGGGCAGCGGTGAGGTTGAGATGCTTGTTTCTGCGCACCGTGATCATGTGGTTGTCAGTGAAGGTGCTTGCTTAGGGTCTGTCTCCCACAAAACCATAAGCTCTGAGAGAGCAAGCACCGACTCTGTTTTGCTCTCCACCCTATCCCCCGTGCTTGGCATGTAACAGGCAATTGCTGATGCATTCATTCATTGAACAGTGCGCTAGGGGCCAGGGACATAGCAGTGAATGAGAAAGTCCTTTCCTCCATGGAGCTGACTCTCGGTAGGGCAGACAGACAATAAGCATGCGTACAAACAAATAAATAGTGATACTTTTAAGAGTACTTAGTACTCAGAGGAAAATAAGTAGCATACCAGAATCAGGGGGGCCAGGAAGGGCACCAGGGTGGTAGGAAAAGCCTCTCCGAGGGGGCGACATTTGGGCAGAGACCTCCATGAAGCGAGGGAGCCTACTTGTGATTCCAGGCAGAGGGAGTAAGGCGGGCAAAGGCGCCGAGGAGCAGACCTGGTTGGCACGTCGGAAACACTGAGAAGGTCGGCCGGCTGCCGTGGGACGCACAAGGGGAAGGTGGCGTGAAGTGGGTGCCAGGGGTTACAACATCTGGCCTCGTAAGCCACGGTGAGGACTTCGGATTTTATTAGAATGATGAGAAGAAGCCTTTGAAAGGTTGAGGGCAGGGGGCTGACTGACAAAAGTCATGTTTATGATTTAATAGGCGCTGGGATGGAGCAGGGACCATATCTTTGTTTCTGGCCCAGTTTGTTCATCTGTGAAATGAATATGTTGAACTGGCTGAACCGATTTCAAAGCCCGAGGCCCTTTTTGTAGCACAGCTATGACCAGCACGCCCATCGGACACGCGTGTGTCCAGGACAGAGAGCGTGTGGGCAGAGTGGGCTGTGGGCTGCAGCAACCAGGGAGGGCTGCCTGGAGGGAAGAGGGGGTGTCTGTCCCAGCTGGTAGCGTGACAGTGGGGAGGAGGCACCCGTCTGGGTTCCGTAGCGCGCCCACCGGCTTGTCGTGCCCCCGCTTACTTGGAGTGGGGCCGGTCTTCCCCTCTCCCCCTTTCCCTCAGTGCCCTGACTTGCTGCTCCCTGCACCGTGTCCTCATGGTCACCTGTCTGTGTTCCTGCCCTGCAGCTGGTGAGTGACACTCGGAGGGCGTCTGACATCCAGTGGTTCCGGGAAAGCTACGGGGCTGTGACCCGGACAGTTCGTGTGGTGGCCTTGGAGCAGAGCCGACGGCAGCGGGGCTGGGTGTTCACACCAGGTGAGCCGGACAAAACCGTTGCCCCCAGACCTTGGTATACCTCACTTTTATACCAGGCCACCTGCTCTTTCCCTGGTAGGCTGTGGGGGAATGATTGAAGGATTAGAAAAGGGGATCTGAGCCCTGGCTGGTGTAGCTCAGTGGATTGAGCGCAGGCCTGTGAAGCAGGGGGTCGCCGGTTCTATTCCCAGTCGGGGCACATGCCTGGGTTGTGGGCCAGGTCCCCAGTAGGGGCCACATAAGAGGCAACCACACATTGATGTTTCTCTCCCACTCTTTCTCCTTCCCTTCCCCTCTCTTGAAAAATAAATAAATAAAATAAAATAAAAAGAAAAGGGGATCTGAGACTTACAAGTGTCCCCAGGTCAGACTGGTGTGGGGTAGAGGCAGGCGTCCTGTGGTAGGGTGGGGCGGGGAGTAGAGGTTCCCCATGATTCTGGCTTTATACCTTTACCTGGGCTGTCCTTCCTAGGCCAGTGGACTCCTGGAGGTCTGTCTGGAACCCATCCCTGGCCTAGTTGGGGCTGATAGTGGGTCAGAGGCAGGCCTGACAACTCGTTGCTGTTTGAGTAAGAGTGGGCTGGGCCGGAGGAAGCTGGACCAGGCAGCCTTGGTGGTGCAAGCCCAGGACCTGCTCTGCGGCAATTCAGAAGCAGAGCGCAGGCCTCCTCCTGCCCTAGTTCACTGTGGCTTGGGAGAGTTCAGATCCACCGGGTCCCACCCCTCCTGATGGCTGCTCGTCTCCTTGGCGCTCACCACAGGCCAGGCCTGTACTAAGTGCTTTGAAGCTCATTTTGTAGATACATCACACCCACCGGTGATGCTGGTATCACTCGTCTTGTTGTCAGATGAGGGGGCATATACTGCCTCCCAAGAGGGTGGAATTGGAGATTTAGGGACAGAAAGCAGGCAACATGCTGAGCTTCACATAAAGTGAGGATGCAGTGCCCTGTCACAGGGGTCCCCAGTGCCTGGGCCTCAGACTGGTGCCAGTCCGTGGTCCGTGACGACCTGGGCCCCACACCCAGAGCTGAGCAGCGGGCTAGTGGGCAAAGCTTCACTCACATTACCCACTGTCTGTGGAAAAATTGCCTTCCATGAATTCAGTCCATGGTGCCTAAAGGGTTGGGGACCTGCTACGCTATTGCATTGTCCGTGACTTCAGATGGCCCAGTCCCCCCTCTGTGGGAAGTGACAAGTGAAGAGTTTAGTCGGCAGAACCCTCTGAGGGCTCAGGTGGCTGCAGGTTACTGAACCTGCCCCCAGGGTGTTTCAGGTCTGCAAGTACCCGCTTTGGGTGGGTGGAGCTTGGCTCCAGAGCGGCTGAAGAGGGGGCCTCTCCATCCGGGCGGTCAGCCTCTGCGCGCATGCTCGATGCCTGGTTGTCCAGAGGGAGCGGGCTTGACTTCCCCATGCCTCTTCTACAGGAGTGGATGATGGGGAGTCAGAATGTGGCCTGGACAACTTTGGGGACTTCGACTGGGTCATCGAGAACCATGGAGATGAGCAGCGCCTGGAGAAGCAGCTGGAGGACCTGGTCGAGTTTGTCCGCACCAGACTGTAGTTGTCAGGTTCTGGGAGCACCAGAAGCTGCAGGGGTGAGGATGGGGACGATTCTGTCTGACATGTGGTTGGCGATTCTGCCTAACGTGTGGTTGCTGATTCTGGCCAAGGTGGGGAGCGCACAGAGGGTCTGGGTCTAGCTTTCTGGGGGGCTGGCAGATGTCAGACAAGTCAAGAAACCTCCAAGACCTCATTTCTCTGTGAACTGGACTGCTCTGCCTCACGGGAGGGGACTTAAAGGGCAAAGGGCTATGCTTGAGGCAGAAACACCACCGTCCCCATCGGTGTCCGGCCTGTCAGCCTGTGGCGGCCTTGATTCCCCAGCAGGATGATTTTAGCCCCTCGTTCTTGGCAAGAATGTGGGTATTAATAAACCTCTTCGGAGCACATGCTCAGAACTGGACATCTCTTGTTTCCCAGCCTGGGTGGGACTCAGGGGCCCTGGGTGGTCCAGGTGGGTAGTCCAGGTGGCTCTGGGTTCCTGCGCTGCCTTCCACCTGGGCTGGAACATGTCCTGCAGAGGCTGACCTTGGCCTGAGCCATGCAGGCAGCAGTTCTGTTTGTGTTGGAGGCAGGCTTGGGGTCTTAGGGTCTCATCTTCTGGGATGGCCGCCAAGAGAGGCTCAGTGCGGCAGGTACCCTGGGGGCAGAGGTATGGCAGAGGGGCAGAGGTACCAGACGTCAGTGCCCCTTTTATTTAGAGAGCCTTATACAATTCGTACATTTCTTCCAGATTCTTCAAAGCCACCCTGTGAAATAGGCGAGGAGAGTTTTGTCACCTGCATTTAGCAGATGCCAAGAGCTCGGAAAGTGGAACAGCTTGTCTGGGGTAGGGGAATGGGTGTCAGCATTCAGACTGGAACACAGGCTGGGTCCCTCTGCCCCCTGCCTGTGGGTACAGCACAGAGTCCATGGCTCCCTGCCATCCTCAGGCCCAGCCTGAACATCCCACTCTGGCCCTGGTTTTGTTTTCCTCCCACAAATTCTGTTGGTTCCCACCGATGAGCCAACCAAAGAAATTGCATCAGACTCAAGGTGACCCAAATTGAACTTTACACCCCCTGTGGATCACCTGTTCCTGGTACGTCAGTGAACCAGGCCTAAGGGCTCGACAGTCACTGTGGGCTCCTCTCCATCCCCCGAGTGCTAGGGCCCATTGGTCACCAGGTTCTGTTAACCTGACCTGCCTGTGTCTCCTTCTGGGATTCTCACTGGAGGATAAACAGCTCTCTGACGGCAGGGGCCATGTGTCTCTCACAGTGTGTCCCCAGCTTCTAGAGCTGTGTTGGCTCACAGTGGTGCTCAGAAAATGTCTGCATCGGAGTGCAGGCTGAGGCAGGGCTCCAGAACGCACCTGGAAGCCAGTAGGCGGTCGTTCCCTGCAGCGCTGTTCCCTTGCTCCCCACCAGGAGGCGCCGCCCCAGCTCCAGGGCCTGGACCCTCTGCTCGGCTGCTGGAGCTGGGACTGGTTGGTCTGAAGGCTGCCAGGCCCTTTGCAAGGTGGAGCTCTGGCCCTTTGAGGGGCTCTTCTCAGGGCCATTTGTGAGCCGGCCCGCTGCCTCCGAGCACCTCATATTCATCCCAAGTTTGTGGCCCAGGGAGTGCACCTTCCTGACTCCCCCTCTTGGCCCCACCGCTGGCGTTTCTAGGACTGGGGTTGTTCGGCCGCGTCTGCAGTGCGCCTGTGAGGGGCATCTCCAGGCAGCGGGGGCAGTGCCCGAGGACTCTGGACGGCGCTCACAGGCGCGTCGGCCCCGGGGACCTGGAATCCCAGCCTCCTTCCCTCAGAGCCCCACGGGTTTTCCGTGGCACTGACCTCTGGTTCCCCGGCACCTTGGGGTGCACCTCTCCCTCTCCCCTCGATGGAAAGCTCCTTGGGGAATGAGCCTGAGCCCTGTTTGTCTTTGTGTCCCTAGTGCCTGTCCCCCAGCGAGGGCAGTGGCAGCAGGGGATGAGCAGTGACCACTGAGTGCTTACCCCAACCAGCCTTCAGGTATTTTAAAGCCTACGGCCTTGGAAAGAGCCTTTATAAGTAATGGGGGGAAAAAGAATTAAAAAAATATTGACCAAATTTAAAGCTCTCAGGTGTTGGTTTAACAGACATCGCCTCAATGATAATTTTAATAATAATAACAAACCTGTATTTTTCAGGATTGCCATTTGCTAGGTTCTGTGAAAAAGCCTTTCATACCGAGGGGGTGGGGGTTTATTCCCGTGTGATCTGAGGGCCTCGTGGGTCCGCCTGTGGGCAAAGGAGTGACTGCAGAGCCAGCACCGGGGCAGCACATCTGTCACCAAAGCCCGTGCCCAGAAGCCCTGCATTTGGCAGTGTGAGGGGCACAGGGCCACCTCCCTGGTTTTCAAAGCAGCCGGTCCCTCCCTGCCTGCGCCCGTGAAGAGACTCGGTGCTCAGGATGGATGTAACCCTACAGTGTGGAATCAGACCGAGAGGTTACTGACTGGTTTTCCTCCCACCTTCACTGAGATGTAACTGACAGATAACATGTATAATTTCAAGCTGTGTAACATGATTTGGTTTGTGTATATATTACAAAATGATTACTACAAAATATGGTTAGTTAACACCTTCATTACACCACGTAATTGCTACACACACACATACACGATGTATGTTTATACACACGCACACACATCTATACATATATTTTGGTGGTAAAAACATTTAAGATCTACTCTCTTGGCAACTTTCAACCATACGCTATAGTGTTGCTGAGTATAGTCACCGTGTTCCGCATTCGACCCCAGGACTTCGCCGTCTCATGGCTGGAAATTTGCACCTTTGACTGATGTCTCCTCATCCCCATCCCTGGTCCTGGCAGTCACCACTCTGCTTTTGCTTAAATGCTGTCTGCTCCATCCATGTTGTAGCAAAAGGCTGGGTTTCCTCTGTTTTGGCTGAATAATATTCCAGTGTATTTTTGTATATATATGTGTTCATATATGTGTAAAATGTACCATATATTTTTTAAAAGATTTTATTGATTTATTTTTAGAGAGGGGGAGGGAGAAAGAGAGGAAGAGAAGCTGGGTGCAGCGATGTCTTTTGAGAGAGTGATTTCCTTTCCTTCAGGTGTGTACTCAGCAGTCGGATTTCTGGATGATCACTGACTGCATTAATTTTAAACATCAAGGAGGCAGAGATGAAGCAGAAAGAGGAGGTGGGGTTGGTGGGTCTTATGTGTCCTTGGAGAGGTTGCTGCCCTGGTTCCTGCCTCTGGGAATTTGGAAGAGTCACAGCATGTGACATGGGAAGCCAGTGTCCTGTCCCCAGTCTTGGCTGGGTTGGCACTGATGACTTTTAAAATGGGAGGCCCCAGTGGTTAACCAGAGTCGCTGCCACTGGACTGGAAGTTCCTCCTTCCTTAAAAAAGCCCTGATATTCTGTAAATATCAAAATCAAGAATAACCCCGACATTTGATAGCTAATGGGAGCTTTAGCTGCTTTTACTTTAGGACTCTCTCCCACCCCACTAGTGTTTCCTAGCTTTGTCTGTGGTTAACCTCAGAGTATTGCTACTAAGTTATTTTGTAATATGAATATGTTCTTTTAGTAATAATTTGCACTAACATTGTCTTAACATTTTATTATTCCATTTCTGAACAGCTTTATTGAGATATAATTGGCATGTAGTAATGGCACGTGAAGTGTGCAATTTGATAAGTTTTGATGTTTTTATATGCCCATGAAACCATTACTACGACCACACTGGACATCGCATCACCGCCAGAGCTTCTTCATGTTCCCCTCCTCTTCCCTCGCCCTGACATCCCACCTTCATCTACAGGCAGCCGCTGGTCTGCCTTCTGTCTGTGCAGACTTGATTGAATTTTCAATAATTTTATATAAATGAATCATATAGTAGACATTATTTTTTGTCTTATTACTTTCACTCGGCATAATTATTTCAGGTCTCAGTAGTGGCGTGTGGTGTGACTATTGCTCAGTTGTTTGCCATTCACCTGCTGATGAACATCTGGGTTGCTTCCAGTGTTTGGGTGTGACAAATGAAGCCCCTGTGAACCTTCATGTACAAGCTTTTGTGTGGATTTTTGCTTTCATTTCTTCTGGCTGAATACCTTCTTCATTTTTTAAAAAAGATTCTATTTATTTATTTTTTAGAGAGAGGAGAAGGGAGGGAGAAAGGGAAAGATACATCAGCAAAGGAAAAGATAGAGGCAACGTGTGGTTGCCTCTTGTGCAGCCCCTACTGGGGACCTGGCCCACAACCCAGGCATCTGCCCCAACTGGGGATCAAACCGGTGACCCTTTGGTTTTCAGGACAGTGCTCAGTCCAGTGAGCCACACCAGCCAGGGCTCGGATGTCCACTTTCATCACTTATCCAGTATTATACTGAGGTTCCAGTCAATGCAATAAGAAAAAAATAAAAGGCATTCAATAGAGAAGAAGTAAAACTGTCTTATTCATAGATGACATTTATCTATGTCAACTATTTGGTGGATTCTCCAAAAAAAGTACTAGAACTAATATTGTATACAACAGGATTGCAGGATTCAAGATCAATATATAAAAATCAGTTGTGGACTTCCAATCAAAGTGGAGACATAGGTAAACACAGCTCACCTCCTCACTCAACCACATAAAAATTACAACTAAATTATAGAAGAACCATCACTCAGAACTGTCAGATGTTGAATTGAATGGAAGTCTGACAACTATGGAATTAAACCACATTCATTCAGACTTGTAGGAGGGGCAGAGAAGTGGAGACACAGTCCTAAACCCACCTGTGGTGGATAAAAAATTGGGAGGAATATCTTGGGAACAAGGAGTCTCAGTCCTGTATCAGGTCCTGCAGCCCAGGGCTCCAGTGCCAGGAAGATAAGTCCTCATAACTTCTGGTTGCAAAAACCAGTGGGGATTGAGTCAGTGGAAGAAACGCAGGAGTTCCTCTTAACCCGCACATGGACTTACTCTGAGCTCTAGCACCAGGGTAGCAGCTTCAAAGGCACCAGTGTTGTATGGGGAGGAACTGAAGTGTCTGGCATCAAGGTGAGATCTGGGGGACAGCTTTCTCCCAGAGAGAAAGGTGGGCAAAAGCCACTGTACCTTTTCTGAGGCCTCCCCACAGGCAGCCACAGAGCTGGCAGGCAGGTTTTCCACATGAATGGCTGGTCTTGGCTCATGCTTCACAAGTTCCTAAATTCTCTCAATCAACAGCTGGTCTCAGTGAGCCTCCACCAGCACCCGCACCTCTTGTTAAGTGGCCCCAGGCCCAGCACTAACAGTGGCCAGCCTAGTTTCACAGCTTGACTTCACCTGGGAACCACTAAGCCCAGCACAAGTAGCAACCATCTGCAGATTGCTTCGTAGCTCATGTAGGGTGGCCCTGGGTAGAACACAGGTAGGGGTTGACCTTGGTCTGCACCACCCTGGAAACCCCAGAGCCTGTGCACCTAGTGGAAAACTACAGATCACATCAGAGCATCAACATCCTGCCCCTGCATAGCTGATCATCCATGGTGGGTGGAGGTGGGTGGTCAGTGGTCACAGCCAGTCCTTGCAGCTGACTGTCCTGGGTAAATCCACCCAATCACCTGCCAACAGCAATAAAATCTCAACTACAAGAGGAGGGTGTATTCAACTCACATGAAGGGTGCACCTTGAGTATTCACCTTTGGTGATAGGGAAGGGTATTCTACTGGACCCTATGGGACAACTGTTACATTAGGACACGTTACAAAGACAGGGAGTCATAGCAGCTCTACCTAATTCATAGAAACAAACGTAGAGAGGCTGCCAAAATGAGGAGACAAAGAAACATGGCCCAAGTGAAAGAATGGATCAAAACTCCAGAAAAAGAACTAAATGAAAGGGAGATAAGAAATCTAAGAGGTGCAGAGCTCAAAACACTGCTCAAGTATTTTGGATGCTCAAGGAACTTAGTGAGGAGATCAATAGCATAAAAAATACCCAGTCAGAAACAAAGGATACATTAACTGAAGTAAGGAACAATTTATAGGGGAACAACAGTAGAGTGAATGAAGCCGAGAATCACATCAATGATTTGGAACATGATGAAGTAAAACAAAACAAAACAAAATAAAACAAACAAACAAAACCCCAACCAATCAAAACAACGAGAATAACCAATCCAATAAAACAAGGATAGTGTAAGTGGCCTCTGGGACAATTTCAAGCAGTCCAACATTTGCATCATAGGGGTACCAGAAGAAGAGGAAGAGCAAGAGATTGAAAACTTACTTGAAAAAATAATGAGCCCTGGCTGGTGTAGCTCAGTGGATTGAGCGTGGGCCTACAAACCATACGCTCACGGTTCGATTCCCAGTCAGGGCACATGCCTGGGTTGCAGGCCAGTTCCCTGCAGGCCAGTTCCCAGCAGGGGGTGCACAAAAGGCAACCATACATTGATGTTTCTCTCCCTCTCTCCTTCCCCCCTTCCCCTCTAAAGATAAATAAATAAAATCTTAAAAAAAATAATGAAAGAAATTGGGTCCTACTTCCTTAATTTTGTGAAGGAAATAGACATACCAGTCTAGGAAGAACAGAGAGTCCCAAACAAGATGGATGCAAAGAGGCCCACTCCAAGACAAATCATAATTAAAATGCCAAGGGTTAAAGATAAAGAGAGAATCTTAAAAGCAGCAAGAGAAAACCAGTTATCTACAGGGTAGTTCCATAAGACTGTCAACTGATTTCTCAAAAGAAACTTTGCAGTCCAGAAGGGATTGGTAAGACATATTCAAAGTCATGAAAAGCAGAGACCTATACCCAAGATTGCTCTACCCAGCAAAGATATTTAGAATCAAAGGGCAGATGAAGAGCTTCCCAGACAATGAAAAACTAAAGAAGTTCATCATCACCAAACCATTATTATTTTTAAGCATATTTTATTGATTATGCTACTACAGTTGTCCCAATTCTTTTCTTCCCTTTATCCCCCTTCACCCCACAACCCACCACCTTCTGGTATGCTCTCCCCCTCCATTCATGTCCATGGATTGGATTGTACATCTAAGTTCTTTAGCTTCTCCATTTCCTATACTATTCTTAACCTCCCACTATTTAATGCCTACTGATTATGCTTCTTATTCTCTGTGCCTTTTCCCCCCATTCTACCCCTGCTCCCCACTGATAACCCTCCATGTGACCCCCGTTTCTGTGATTCTGTTCCTGTTCTAGTTGTTTAATTTTTGTTTTTGTTTTGTAGGTTCAGTAGTTGATAGTTGTGAGTTAGTTGTCATCTTATTGTTAATAGTTTTTGATCTTCTATTTCTTAGATAAGTCACTTTAACATTTCATATAATAAGAGCTTGGTGATGACGAACTTTAAGTTTACTTTATTTGGGAAGTACTTTATCTGCCCTTCCCTTTAAGTGATAGCTTTGCTGGATAAAGTAATCTTGGATGTAGGTCCTTACCTTTCATGACTTTGAATACTTCTTCTCAGCTCCTTCTTACCTGCAAGGTTTCTTTTGAGAAATCAGCTGAAGTCTTATGGGAACTCTGTAGGTAACTCTCTTCTTTTCTCTTGCTGCTTTTGGGATTCTCTACTCATCTTTAATCTTGGCTAATGTTATTATAATGTGCCTTTGTGTGTGCTACCTTGGGTCCAACTTCTTTGGAACTCTTTGAGCTTCCTGGACTTCCTGGAAGTCTATTTCCTATGCCAGCTTGGGGAAGTTCTCCTTCATTATTTTTTCAAATAATATTTCAATTTCTTGCTATTCCTCTTCTCCTTCTGGCACCACTATGATTCAGATGTTGGAATGTTTAAAGTTGTCCCAGAGGTTCCTAAGCCTCTCCTCATTTTTTTGAATTCTTGTTTCTTCATCCTATTCTGGTTGAATGTTTATTTCTTCCTTCTGCTCCAAACTGTTGATTTGAGTCCCAGTTTCCTTCCCATCACTGTTGTTCTCTGTATATTTTTCTTTATTTCATTTTGCATAACCTTCACTTTTTTCCTCTATTTTGCAACCATACTCAGCCATTTCTGTCAGCATCCTGATTATAAGTGTTTTGAACTCTGCATTTGATAGGTTAGCTATTTCTTTATTGCTTAGTTGTATTTTTGGAGGTTTGATCTGTTCTTTCATTTGGGCCATATTCTTTGTCTCACAGCTGTTACGTTGTAAGGGGTGGAGCCTTAGGTATTCACCAGGGTAGGGCAACCCAGGTCACTGCATTGTGGCACTGTCTGTGGGGGAGGGGTCAGAGAGGGAACAATGCCACTTGCTCAGCTCTCATCCCACTTTTTATCACTTCCCCTGCTACCAACAAGCAAATTCAGTCCTTTCAGGTGCTGATTCCTGGGTAAGAAGGTTTGTGTACATTCTAGGACCCTGTGGGCCTCTCCAATGGACTCTCCTGTGAGACTGGGAGTTTCACCCACCTTCGCAACCCCAAGAGGATTTTACAGCTAGATGTTTTGAGTCTTTAGTTTCCCATGCTGAAACCCTGGGTTTCAAGGTCTGTCTTGCTCCCCCAGTGTTTCTCCCATTTTTTCCACATGTGAATGTGGGACCACCCGATCCACCAGCCGCCTCTCCTTCGCAGTCTGCTGTCTTGCCTCACGTCCTCTGAGCCCCACTGCCTGTCTCCGTCCCTCTGGCCAGTCTGGATGAATGTTTCTTTGTCTCCTTGGTTGTCAGAGTTCCATGCAGTTTGATTTTCTGGCAGTTCTGGTTGTTTTTTGTTTTTATATTGGTGGTTATCCTTCTTTTGGTTTTGTGAGGAAGCAAAGCATTTCTACCTATGTCTCCATCTTGGCTGGAATTCCACCAAACCATTATTATATGAAATGTTAAAGGAACTTATTTAAGAAAAGAAGATCAAAAGTATGAACAATGAAATGGCAATAAATACATATCTATCAACAATTGAATAAA